CCTGAGCCCTGCCCGCTCTGAGAACCTGCAAATTCATGGCGTCCACCGTCTCCTCCTCGGTCAGTAAGCACACTCTCAGGAGCGTACTGACCATCTGTCGGAATATGCTCTGTTGTTCCGTGGAGTTGATTGTGTTGCAAATAAGATCCGTGAACACCTTGATGAGTGCTACGAGATCCTCCCTGGTGAGGGCCTGCTGTGGCATTGGGTTCAAAACAGTGGGTTGTTGTGGTCTGTAGCGACTGCTGAGGGTTGGATTTCTTTATTGTATCCACCGTGGCCTGTTGCTGTATACCAGGTTGAGTAGCCGGGATCTGCTGGTGAGTTGCAAGTTGAGCCTGTAAGGCGGCTGTGCCGGGTAAGGAGTGCCTGCATTGTCGTGCTATGGTCGGTGGGGGCTCGCTTATTGCCCCCTGCTGATCGCGTTGACCAGATGTACCCTGTTGATGCCTCCTGTTCCTCTTGTTTCTGTTTCTTCGTTGAGGTAGGGGCGCAGGAGGTTTCTGACCATGACGCCTGGTTGAGGCTTCGAGGGTTGGGAATTCCTGGGCATTGAGTTGGGTTAGCTGATGAGAGATCTGTGGTGTGGCAGGGCTCTCTGCACCCATCGTCTGCTGATAGTGATGATCCGTCGCAGCCTGCTTCCGAGTTTTTGGCGTCTTCCAGACTCCTTGAATTCTGGCGAGCCTGTCGGGGCATCGAGGATTCCAGGCATGGTGTTTCTGCCTGCAGTTCGGGAATTGTGGAGTGGGTGGCGATGCATTTTTCAGCTTGGTGATGCTGGTTGCAGACACCGCAGATTACTCTGTTCGGACAGAGTGCACCAAGGTGTCCGTAACACTGACACTTGAAACAGCAAACTGGTTCTGCTGTGAAGGCATCGTACCTGCCTAAAGAACCGAGGTCCAGCTGGGAAGGCAGTGGTTCTACATGCTGAATGAGGACCTGTCGGGTTGGTGCGTTGCCTGCCGTCTTTGCCTTGAGACGTTGAGCTGACACCACACTGGGGTGAGCTGCTACTGCCTCGATGGGCATCATCAGCGGGTATCGCATCACTACACCCTTGGTGATCTGCCGAGAGTCCAGTTCCTCCAGGGTGAATGAGCGATCTGTCTCCGTGACTCTCTTCAAGGTGGTATACATTTCCTTGTTGAGAGGAGTCAATATTGGTTCTCCCCTCAAGTTGAACCATATCTTGAACTTCAGGTTGTGTCGTGATTCCTGGTATGAAACAACGCCATAGTGGGTTCCGTGGTCCCCGTAAGACTTCACCTTGAATTTGCCAGGTCGGTTGAGCTGGTTTGCCTGCTCCCTGGACGGACGGCGCTTCTTGTTGCCCACAGGGGTTCATCCCTCTTGGTTTTCGGGGGGTGGGGCGTTTATTTCCTCCACTGTTTCCATTGTCGCTGGCTCCATGGTTGGAACTGTCACATCTGCTATAATGTGAGCAGGATCTTCCTCTTCCTCTGATGACACGGAGTGGTCTCGCAACTTCTTTGCTAGAATTGCGCCCCACATTTCCAAATCTGAGTCCTCCATTGTGTTCATGGAGCATCGTGGCCTCTTCTTTTCGGCAGAAGCCATGTGCCTATCTAGTGATAAGGTAGTGTACTCCGTGAACTGAGTGTCATGTGATGGTGCTAATACAGAGAAAACTCAGAAAACGCATATATATAGTGGCAGGAGTCAGGTGAAGTGACGTATGGGTAGAGGAGGTAGTAGTAGTAGTAGTGGAACTAAGGAGGTGAGGCTAGAGAGGGACCTGCTGACATCATGTAACAGCAGTTCCCAGGATGGGTAATATCCTCTTGATTAATAATTTTGAAATACTGTAACTACCGGATTTTTGCTTTATAGCTTTATAGTTACAGTATTTCAAAATTACTAATCAAGAGGATATTACCCATCCTGGGAACTGCTGTTACATGATGTCAGCAGGTCCTTCTCTAGCCTCACCTCCTTAGTTCCACTACTGAGATAAATTAGACACATGTGCAACTCTTGGGTATGTAAGGTAAGACACATATGCAACAGTTAGGTATCTTTATTTCGAAACGTTTCGCCTACACAGTAGGCTTCTTCAGTCGAGTACAGAAAAGTTGAAAAGAACCCGAAGATATTTGAAAACGATGTAATCACCATCCCCCTTTAAAGTTTGAGTTTCAGCCCCTCAGTCTTGAGAAGAAAATTGTTCCATACTGAAAAAATTTGGAGTTGAAGTGAAAGAGGGGCCCCTTTATATACCCCCCAAAGGGGTGAGATTAGCCACTAGAGAATTTAAAAAATTTTTTTCTTTGGGAAGATCAGGTCCCTCTAAAAATCCACCCAAATTCTACTAGTAGAATTTGACAAAGTTGATTTCAGGTCGGGTTCCCAAGATACCCTTGGGGGCCTTTTGAATTTTAAAAAAACCTTTTGGGGAAACTTTTTTGGGGAAACGTTTCGCCACACATTTGGCCCTTCATCAGTCCATAAAAAGGGAGAAACTTAAAAAAACAGAGGAAATTTCCCCGTTTTTCTATTCAAAAATTGATGGCCCGGGACCACATCGACTCAAGGTTTTGGGGGACGGGTTTACCTAAATTCCCCCCTCCTTTTTTCAATTTTTCTCCTTTGAAAGGGACGATGAAGCCCTGTGGGGCAAACTTTCCCAAAAAAGATCCCCAAAAGTTGCACTGTGCCCCAAATTTTTATCAACGTGTCGTCTGTGAACCTTTTCACTTAAAACCTTTCAAACTAAACTTTTTGGGGAAACTTAATATTTTAAAAATTCTTCGCTGCCTAACCCTTGGGAAAGCCCAATTTCCACTTTCCCCCAAATTTACCCCCACCAAACGACTGTTTGCACCTCTCCTGCTACGGATTATAAGCTCCCTTCTCCGCTTATTTTGCCGTATTCATTCAAGATTGATGGACTGACTCCCTTCGGCTAAAGGCTGGGGGACTGATTACCTCTTTTCTCCCCCTTTTTTTCCAATTTTCTTCTTTGTATGGACTGATGAAGCCACTGTGGGGCGAAACTTTTTTCCCCCAATAAAAATACCCAAGAGTTGCACATGGCCCAAATTTTTTTAAACATGTGGGTTCTGTAAACCCTTTCATCAACATTTTTAAACTACACTACTTCACCACCTTTTCCCACCGTCACTTCATGAACCTACACCTGTCTTTACTAGTCGCTGCTACAGGGGCCCAAATGCTGGTTTAAAATTTTACCGGAAAGTGGCTACGGCAAATTGACTGAAAAAAACAAGAGGATTCGTAGTACCCCTTTTTTGAGCCCCTCGGGCCCAAAAAGGGGAAAAGGGGTTCAGGGGCTGGACAGCGGGGAAACGAATTTGGGGATCAAGAAGAGAAGGGAAAAGGAAGAAACAAGAAGAAAAAAGAACGTTGTGGAAACATCTAATCTTTCTCTGTGCAAACGTTTCCTTTAATAAATGTCCTGAATGTCCCATAGGGGTTTTTTTCCAATTTGTCGGTAAACACAATTTTAAATTCCTCAGTTTAAAATAGCGATTTTAATCAGTCCACAGTAGGCGAAACGTTTTTGCCTACTGTTGGAAAACGTTTCGGGGTTTAAAATTGCCTAACTGTTTCCTATTTTCCACCTACCAACCGTCGGATTGGGAATTTCCCCTTTTATATTCACTCCCTTTTTAATAATTTTATACTGAACCTGCCCTACTTTCTGCATTCACTGAAAAGCCACTGTGTAGGGGGAAAAGTTTGGAAAAAAGTTTTCCTAACTTTTTTTCCTATGTGTCCAAAATACTTTCCCAGAAATTTTCTCCATACAGTTACTATTAAAAAATTTTTAATATCCCAAACATAAGTCAATATTCCATACTCAATTTTTTATCATTTCTAAACCCATACCTCTAACTAATCCTAGTTTAAAGTCCTAACAACCCCCTCAACTGAGCTAGAAAGAAAACCCACACCTGCCCTGGATAAGTGAACCCCATCCCTGGCATGCATGTCATTTCGGCCATAGAAGTTGTCCCAGCTGTCAATGAATGGTACCCCTTTATCCTTACAGTGTTCATCAAGCCAACAATTAATACCAGTTGCTCTGGACAACCATTCATTTCCAACTCCCTTTCTTGGCAAAATGTCACATATAACAGGGCGCCCCACCTTTTTCCTAATTATGTCTATAGCTATCCTGAACTTTCTAACTAAATCCTCACTTCTACGCTTGCCTACATCATTGCCTCCAGCACTGAGGCAAATAATAGGATTTATCCCATTACCGTTCATGATGTTGTATATGTATAATGTTCGCCAAGACCAGGGTCCTGGCACGGGTCCCAAGATGGCACGGGTCCCAAGATGGCACGGGTTCATGATGTTGTCAAGCCGGCTAACAATATCCTCCATCCCAGCCCCAGGAAAGCAAACCCTCTGTCTCCTACTCCTGTCCTTCAAGCAGAATGCCCTATCTATGTACCTAGCCTAGCTATCTCCAACTACAACAATATTCTTACCTTCCTTGGTGTCGTTCGTCGTGACGATCCCAGTAGTCGACTCATATTCGTCGGGTAGCACAGAGAATGCAATAGATGTCTCCACAACATTTTCCACAGCAGTCTCTTTCTTCTTCATCGTTTCTACCTTTCCATTCGTCTTCTTGATCGTCAACTTCGTCCCATGCTGCCCAGCCACTGACCACGTTCCCTTCTTGACCTGAGGACTCAAAACAGGAAGACTACTACGAATCCTCTTGTTTTTCTCAGTCAATCGCCGTAGCCACTTTCGCGGTAAAATTTAATCCAGTCATTGGCCACTGTAGCAGCGACTAGTAGAGCACAGGTGCTAGGTTCATTTATCTGATTGTCACTATTGGGGGGCCATCGCTCGATTACCCGAACTGGACTCAGGGGTCTCAGTGTCATTATTGTATATTAGGCCACGGCAGCAGCGACGGCTGGATTGCCTGTGCCGGACTCGGTTGAGTATCGATACCATTTTGCCTTTTCATTTTTTTCCTCTGGTTACAGATGTGGTGATGCCAAAACCAAGCAACCTGCGGGTACTGACAACTAATAGTGAATATATCGACATAGATTGGCAGGTGAGTTGAGGATTCCTGTTTTCTTTAATTTACCAATAATAGACTATACTTTTTCCTCCATGGGACTGTGCTAACCTTCTCTATGTACCATGTTAATTAGCAGAAATACTTAATATTCTTCATAAACTATATATGAATTTTTTTCGATGTCTGCAACGGTGAATGCCAGTTACGTTGATATATGCTGATTAACAATGTAAGTTAGGTATAATGTATACACAGGATATATACACCTCTGTGTATATATCCTGTGAACAAAAAATTTACTTTATGTTAATGTCCAGGTGAAATGTCGCCTTAAACTTAACAATTTTAAACAAGTGTTCATCATAGCGAATATGTTTCAATGCTGAGTTTACACCAACGTGAAGTTTCCGGCTATTTAACTAGACACAGTATTCTGGTTTTGTTCCAGTATTGGATGTGGGTGATGCATATTGATGTTCTTAGAGAACCAGATGTCAACAAAATTATTTCATCTCATTATGATCATGATTATTTAATGTTACTGTCTTCATTGATTTAACAATAATCCTAATTTAGCTGTCGAATTTAACAGTTTGACGGAGATCAAAGAGACGTAGAGTACACAGTGAAGGTTTTCTACAGTAGCGGAGAGTTAGCTAAAGAACAGGGGTCACGAGTAGCGTCAGCGAGGGTGGGCGAACTGGCTCCAAGTACCGATTACACAGTGTCAGTGATGGCGTTTAAGGCTCTCCCTCGAGGTCGCCGAGCTAACAGTCCTGATAGCGATCCTGTCTCCGTTAGAACTCAAGGTTAGTTATTGTAAGCTAATGTACTGTGGGGCAATGATCCGACAAGCTAGAACAGAGATGTGTAATGTAGAGTAAGCTTGTATTTTAGAGGCAGACGATGCCTCGTTTAGGATTTACGTTTATTAAGTGTAATAAAGTTGGTAGAATTACCGACAATATGTAAAGTAAAAGGACACAAGTGCAACTAATGTGACATTTATTGTGGCAACGTTTCGCTATCCAGGAGCTTTATCAAGCCATTACAAACAATACATGTTGTTAAAGATTCGCCGGGTTTTTTTCCCGGGCCCCGGGGGGCCCTTCCAAGTGGGGGCCCCGGAAACTGGCTCCCTGCCCAAGGGATGTCGAGCCCCAAAGTCTCCCATGGGAGGAGGGACAAGTACCCCCCCATATTGTAAGGGACAAACTCGGGCTCTGGCACCAACCATGCCCTAGAAGGGCAATGCATGGTGTCGATCGTGCTAGCGCTTTACAAACAATACATGGACACAGAGGGTATATAAAGGCTCAGAGTGAGGTGAATACTAGTGAGGTACCATTTCGATTTTCACTAGGGGTAGTAGTAGTATAGTAGTAGTAGTGGATGGACAAAGTAATACAATATGGTAGAGCAATTAATTCGTACATGAGTAAAAGGTGGATGAATGATTTGAAAAACCGACAAGTTGAAGTTTGAGACACTTATGCAGCATATGGGAATCTTTATTCGGGAAACTTTTTCGCCACAACTTGTCGGTTTTCAAACCATTCATCACAACGTCAGACACTGCAGCATCATGGGATCTTGTTACAAAGAATTCTTCAACACTTGTTCAACCTTTGGACGAAGACCTACTTTCGACTAGTGGATGATACCACAATGACCCCGCCTCCATCTGCTTCACGTCACCTCACTACAGTATATAAGCACGTCTACGGCCCTATGCTGTACATTCTACAAGATTGAGGACTGAACACATCGACTCCAGGTTGAGGGACTGATTACCTCATTCTCCTCCTCTCCTTACGCCTTCCTCTTTGTATTGGACGATGAAGCCCCCTGTGTGGCAAAACGTTCCTGAATAAAGATTCCCATATGCTGCATAAGTGTCTCAATCTTCAACTTGTCGTTTTTCAAACCATTCATCACAACTGTCAGACACTGCAGCATCATGGATCTTGTTACAAAGAATTCTTCAACACTTGTTCAACCTTTGGACGAAGACCTACTCGCCTAGTGGAGGTACCACTATGACCCCGCCTCCATCTGCTTCACGTCACCTCACTACAGTATATAACCACGTCTAGGGCCCAAATGCGTACATTCTACAAGATTGATGGACTGAACACATCGACTCCAGTTGGGGGACTGATTACCTCATTTCTCCACCTCTCCTTACCCTTCCTCTTTGTATTGGACTGATGAAGCCACTGTGTGGCGAAACGTTTCCTGAATAAAAAATTCCCATATGCTGCATAAGTGTTTTCAATTTTCAACTTGTCGGTTTTCAAACCATTCATCACAACTGTCAACACTGCAGCATCATGGATCTTGTTACAAAGAATTCTTCAACACTTGTTAAACCTTTGGACGAAGACCTACTTCGACTAGTGGATGGTACCACTATGACCCCGCCTCCATCTGCTTCACGTCACTCACTACAGATATAACCACGTGTAGGGCCCTATGCTGTACATTCTACAAGATTGATGGACTGAACACATCGACTCCAGTTGAGGACTGATACCTCATTCTCCTCCTCTCCTTACGCCTTCCTCTTTGTATTGGACTGATGAACCACGTGTGGCGAAAACGTTTCCTGAATAAAGTTTCCCCATATGCTGCATAAGTTCTCAACTTCAACATGAGTAAAAGGATATAAAATCTATTACTTGGGTAACATAAAAATAGGTTGGACAAAAATAAACTGGAATGAGGCAGCTTGTTTCAGTGTTCACTCTCTGTGCTTTGTGTATATAACAGGAGAGACTATGTGATGGCAGGGTTTACTCTTTTCAGGGGGATTCTTGCAAAGACTTCGGAGATGGTGAAGCTGCCGTTGTTTTGTTTAATTGTATTCGAAACAGCGATCAGTGCTGATTCGAGGCACTTGCGTCTGCGGAAAATTAGTTTCTTTGATCACTAATTGGGCCGTCTCTGAATTTCATGAGATGTTTGGGTGGAATTTTTCGGTGTTGAAACACAGGCGTTGTTCAGGTTATCGTTCCTACATGCGTAAATGTGTTCATACAGCCTCCACAGGTATAGTGTAAACTCCTGCATTGACTGGTTCGTGGGTGCTTGGATTTTGTCCTGGTTATACCTTTATTGAATGCTAGAATAGAAGCGATGGCGACTCTGGTGTTAGCTTGTGAATGTGTTTTTGAGACGTTCAGTGCAACCTGACTGTTGGGAAATTAAACTTTGCTGGGAGTGTTGTTGATGCGTGGAGAATTTATGATCTGAAGAGCTCTTTTCTTGCAGTCTTTGATGAAAAAAGAAGGAAAATGTAACTCTGTGAATGTTTGGTGAATGTATGTACACTCCTCGTCAAGAAACTCAGGACTACAAATTCATCAAAGACTGAAAGAAAAGAGCTCTTCAGATCATAAATTCTCCACGCATCAACACCACTCCCAGCAAAGTTATAATTGAGATTAAGACACATGTGCAACATCTGGGTATCTTTATTGTAGACGTTTCGCCATCCAGTGGCTTTATCAATACAAATTCTAGGACATAACTTGAAGACAGTAGAACTATGTACAGAAGATGAGGTAATCAGTCCCTCAACCTAGGAGTAGGTGCGAAGAGCACCATAGTCGTGGAGATTCTGAAGCAGAAGAAAGGAGCCTGGCGCTTATATAGTAACGTCAGGTTACTAACGTCAGGTGTAGCAGACGAGGGCATATTCACTGGTAGGCGGGATTCCCCAGTGGAAGTAGGTCCTTCCCAAAGTGATGGGTTAGTAGTAGTAGTAGTTGTCGTAGTTGTGAAGGTATTGTACTACTACTACTAACCCATCACTTTGGGAAGGACCTACTTCCACTGGGGAATCCCGCCTACCAGTGAATATGCCCTCGTCTGCTACACCTGACGTTACTATATAAGCGCCAGGCTCCTTTCTTCTGCTTCAGAATCTCCACGACTATGGTGCTCTTCGCACCTACTCCTAGGTTGAGGGACTGATTACCTCATCTTCTGTACATAGTTCTACTGTTCAAGTTATGTCCTAGAATTTGTATTGATAAAGCCACTGGATGGCGAAACGTCTACAATAAAGATACCCAGATGTTGCACATGTGTCTTAATCTCATCTTGTCGGTATTATATACCATTCGTACACAAAGTTATAATTCTTCCCAACAGTCAGGTTGCACTGAACGTCTCAAAAGCACTTTCACAAGCTAACACCAGAGTCGCCATCGCTTCTAGCACTTCAATAAAGGATATAACCAGGACAAAATCCAAGCACCACGAACCAGTCAACGCAGGAGTTTACACTATACCCTGTGGAGGCTGTGACAAGATTTACGTAGGTGAAACAGCCAGAAACCTCGACACCCGCCTCAATGAACACATTTATGCATGTAGGAACGATAACCTGAACAACGCCTGTGTACAACACCAAAATTTCCACCAATCATCTCATGAAATTCAGAGACGCCCAATTAGTGATCAAAGAAATAATTTCCGCAGTCGCAAGTGCCTCGAATCAGCACTGATCGCTGTTTCGAATACAATTAAACAAAACAACGGCAGCTTAAACCATCTCCGAAGTCTTAGCAAGAATCCTCCTGAAAACAGTAAACCCTGCCATCACATAGTCTCTCCTGTTATACTACACAAAACAAAAGAGAGTGAACACTGAAACAAGCTGCCTCATTCCAGTTATAATTTGTCCAACCTATTTTTATGTTACCCAAGTAATAGCTTTTATATCCTTTTACTCATGTACGAATTAATTGCTCTACCATATTGTATTACTTTTGTCACTACCACTACTACTACTACTACTACTACCACTAGTGAACATCGAAATGGTACCTCACTAGTATTCACCTCACTCTGAGCCTTTATATACCCTCTGTGTCCATGTATTGTTTGTAATGGCTTGATAAAGCTCCTGAAGAGCGAAACGTTGCCACAATAAATGTCACATTAGTTGCACTTGTGTCCTTTTCTTTACACGTTTATTAAGTCTTGATAAAGCTCATTCCTGAGCAAGGCGATGATCGGAAGCAACATCTTAAGGTTCTTGACTGCAAGATACCCAAGGTGTGCTGCCGTCCTCTCGGGTCTTTCCTACAGTGTGTTGCGGGAGGAGGTGGTTAAGTAGGATAATGAACTAGCCACTTTTGCAGTAAAATTTAATTAAGTCATTGGCCACTAGCGACTAGTAGAACACACATGCTAGGTTCACTTATCTGACTGTCACTATTGGGCGGTGATCGCTGGATTACCCGAACTGGACTCAGGGGTCTCAGTGTCACTATTCTATATTAGGCCACGGCAGCAGCAACGGCTGGATTGCCTGTGCCGGAGTCGGTTGTTTGAGTATCGATACCACTTTGCCTTTTCATTTTTTCCCTCTGGTTACAGATGTGGTGATTCCAAAACCAAGCAACCTGCGGGTACTGACAACTAATAGTGAATATATCGACATAGATTGGCAGGTGAGTTGAGGATTCCTGTTTTCGTTAATTTACCAATATAGACGAAACTTTCTCCTCCATGGTACAGTACATTGTGCTGTCTCTGGAGGCGGTACAAGGTTCGTAGGGTCGAGCCCTGGCCTGCCGCAGTTTGGTAAATGATCTAAAAATCACTTGTTTCGTGTTGGTTCTCCCTTACATAAGAACATAATAATGCAGGAACATTGCAGAAGGCCTACTGGCCCATGCAAGGCAGGTCCTTATCATAACGACCTCTTCCTAAAGCTACCCAAGAAATAACTCCCGTACCCAATGACACCAATCAAACCCAGCCCCTCCCACTCATATATTTGTCCAGTCTCATCTTGAAGCTACCCAAAGTCCTATCCTCTATCACCCTTCTGAGAAGATTGTTCCACGCATCTACAACTCTGTTAGAAAACCGTGAATTTGCACAAGATGTCCTCTCTTGAGCAACTCTACCAGCAGCTAAAAGAGGAGCTTAGGGTTGCTAAGCTTGAGATACGGCGACTGACGGAGGAAAACAAGAGGATTCGAAGTAATCCTCCTGTTGTGAGTTCTCAGGTCAAGAGAGGAACCTGGTCAGTGGCCGGCCAACATTTTGAAGCTGAAAATCAAGAAGACTGTTGCAGTGGCGGAAACAACGAAAAGCCAGAAGACTGTGGTGGAGACTTCCAACCCATTTTCGGTGTTACCAGACGAATGTGTGTTGTCAACTGGAAACGTCGCAATGAGTACCAAGGAATCATTGGCAGAGGAGGGTGAGTCGACATCCCTTGAAACCCCAACGAAGACCATCGAAAACGTCACTACAAACTCCACCAGTGAAGGTAAGAACATTGTTTTAGTTGGGGACAGTCAAGTGAAATTTATGGATAGGGCACTCTGTCTTAGGGACAGGAAGAGGAGGCAGAGGGTATGTTTTCCCGGGGCTGGGATGGGGGAAATTGTTAGCCGTCTGGACGACATCATGAAAGGTAATGGGAGTAATCCTATTATCTGCCTTAGTGTGGGGGGCAACGATGTTGGCAGACGTAGGAGTGAAGACCTGATTAGCAAGTATAGGACAGCAATAGAGATAATTAGGAAGAAGGGTGGGAACCCTGTGATATGTGGTATTTTCCCTCTGAAGTTTCCCTCAGGATAGCTGGAACTCACAGGATGAATTTCATCCAGTAAAGCAAATGATTAGAGGTCTTGGGGACGAAACGTCCTCAACCTATTCTCAAACTTTAAATGGGTGAGATGCCGAGCTTGCTCGAACACTTTAATAATTAATGTCTTGGTCTGAAAAATGGCAGATGAAGTTCAATGTCGAAAAGTGTAAGGTACTAGCCATTGGTAATGAAAATAACTCTCGAAGCTATAATCTAGGTGAAGTAGAGCTTGATCATACAAAATGTGAAAATGACTTGGGAGTCATGGTGAGCAGAAATCTAAAGCCAAGACAGCAGTGCCTTAGTGTGCGCAACAAGGCCAACAGATTACTTGGATTTATCTCAAGAAGTATAAGTAACAGAAGTCCAAAAGTTATTTTGCATCTCTATACATCACTAGTGAGGCCTCATTTAGATTATGCTGCTCAGTTTTGGTCCCCTTACTACAGGGTGGATATAGACTCATTAGAGAACATACAGAGAAGAATGACCAAAATGATTTACTGTGTAAGGATTTAGAAAGACACGTAAGCAAACTCTATAGAAGTGATCAAGGTCCCAGGACCGAAACGTTTTCTAATAAATATGTTATAGTGTTTGCTAACGTGTCTTTCTAAACCAACTTGTCGGTATTTATTACCAAGGTTTATACCACTGTGTAAGGAACCTCCCGTATGAAGATAGACTTAAAGCCTTAAATCTCCACTCTGAGGAGAGGCGTAGAATGAGGGGAGATATCATTGAAATGTAAAAGTGGATGACGGGCATAAACAAGAGAGATATTAATAAAGTACTGAGGGTGTCGAACCAGGTAAGAACAAGAAATAATGAATTTAAGTTAGATAAATTTAGATTTAGAAAGAACATAGGTAAGTACTGGTTTTCTAACAGAGTTGTAGATGCGTGGAACAGTCTTCCCAGTGGGGTGATAGAGGCTAGGACCCTGGGTAGCTTTAAGAAAAGATTGGACAAATATATGAGTGGGAGGGGCTGGGTTGATTGGTGTCATTGGGTACGGGAGTTATTTCTTGGGTAGCTTTAGGTAGAGGTCGTTTTGATAAGGACCTGCCTCGCATGGGCCAGTAGGCCTTCTGCGTGTTCCTTCAATCTTATGTTCTTATGTGTGATGAATGGTTTGAAAAACCGACAAGTTGAAGATTGAGACACTTATGCAGCATATGGGAATCTTTATTCAGGAAACGTTTCGCCACACAGTGGCTTCATCAGTCCAATACAAAGAGGAAGGCGTAAGAAGAGGAGGAGAATGAGGTAATCAGTCCCTCAACCTGGAGTCGATGTGTTCAGTCCATCAATCTTGAAGAATGTACAGCATAGGGCCGTAGACGTGGCTTACATACTGTAGTTAGGTGAGGTGAAGCAGGCGGAGGCGGGGTCATAGTGGTACCATCCACTAGTCGAAGTAGGTCTACGTTCAAAGGTTGAACAAGTGTTGAAGAATGCTGCATAAGTGTCTCAATCTTCATCTTGTCGGTTTTTCAAACCATTCATCACAACTGTCAGACACAGCAGCATCATGGGATCTTGTTACAAAGAATTCTTCAACACTTGTTCAACCTTTGGACGTAGACCTACTTCGACTAGTGGATGGTACCACTATGACCCCGCCTCCGCCTGCTTCACCTCACTCACTACAGTATATAAGCCCCGTCTACGCCCTATGCTGTACATTCTTTAAGATTGGGTGGACTGAACACCATCGACTCCCCGGTTGAGGGACTGATTCCTCATTCCCCCTCTCCTTACGCCTTCCTCCCTTTTTATTGGGCTGATGAAGCCACTGTGTGGCGAAACGTTTCCTGAAAAAAAGATTCCCATATGCTGCATAATTTCTCAATCTTCAACTTGTCGGTTTTTCAAACCATTCATCACAACTGTCAAACACAGCAGCATCATGGGATCTTGTTACAAAGAATTCTTCAACACTTGTTCAACCTTTGGACGTAGACCTACTTCGACTAGTGGATGGTACCACTATGACCCCGCCTCCGCCTGCTTCACCTCACCTCACTACAGTATATAAGCCACGTCTACGGCCCTATGCTGTACATTCTTCAAGATTGATGGACTGAACACATCGACTCCAGGTTGAGGGACTGATTACCTCATTCTCCTCCTCTCCTTACGCCTTCCTCTTTGTATTGGACTGATGAAGCCACTGTGTGGCGAAACGTTTCCTGAATAAAGATTCCCATATGCTGCATAAGTGTCTCAATCTTCAACTTATGTTCTTATGTTCTTATTTTGCCTAGGAGAGGAGTTGGTAATGAATGGTTGTCCAGGGCAATTGGTGTCAATTGCTGGCTGTAAGGAAAATGCAGTAACATTCATAGACAACTAGGACCTCTTCTATGGCAGAATAGACATGTATGCCAGGGATGGAGTTCACTTTTCTAGGTTTGGGATGGGAGCACTGGCCATCGCAATGGAGGGAGCTGTTAGGTCTTTAAACTAGAAATAGATAGTGTTATGGGTTTTCGCGGAAAATCAATGGATTCTGAGTGTAGCGATAGAGTGAGTTTTAAGGAAACCAGTTATAGGAAGAATGAGGAAGAATTATTGGTGAACATAGGAAAGCCAATGGCATTAGGTGATAAGGAGAGTAACAGGCATAGTGGAGGAACAGAAATCAGCAATAAGAAGAAAGAGAAGGGAGGGTTTCTGAAAATATATTATACTAACAGTCGTGGTGCGAGAAATAAGATGGACGAATTGAGATTAGTTGCATGTGCGGGTAACATTGATGTTTTTGCCATAACTGAGACGTGGTTTAATATGAAAAATAGGGACATGCCTGCTGAATGTCACATACAGGGTTTGAAATTGTTCCAAGTAGACAGAAGTATTGGGAAGGGGGGTGGGGTGGCACACTATGTCCATGATCGTTTAAATTATTGCATAAAAACGGGTATAAAGTCTGAAACACATACTGAATCTGTTTGGGTAGAATTTACAGAGGGGCCTAGAAAATTGATTTCAGGCGTGATATACCGTCCACCAAAATTGGATAGAGACCGAGGAAGACTACTCTGGGAGGAAATTGTTAAGGCCACAAGGCACGATAACGTTGTAATTCTAGGGGACTTTAGCTTTAGTAATATTGATTGGAATCTTCTAACTGGGAATCTGGAATCTACGACTTTTTAGAAGTGGTTCATGATTGTTTTTTGAAGCAGTTTGTGATAGAACCTACAAGGGGAAATAACCTGCTTGATAGGTAAGACACATATGCAACAGTTAGGTATCTTTATTTCGAAACGTTTCGCCTACACAGTAGGCTTCTTCAGTCGAGTACAGAAAAGTTGATAGAAGCAGAAGATACTTGAAGACGATGTAATCAGTCCATCACCCTTAAAGTTTTGAGGTGGTCAGTCCCTCAGTCTGGAGAAGAGCATTGTTCCATGGTATGAAACAATATGGAGATGAAGTGACAGAATGGAACCTTATATAGCGCCAGGAGGTGAGACGTAGGTCACTAGGAGAGGTAAGAACTCAGATGTTGGGAGGGCAGGTCCCTCTCAAATCCAGCCGTTCTCACTAGTAGAGGTTGTCGAAGTTGATTGTAGGTCTGTACCAAGATACCCTTGTGTTGCAGTGTCAGACAGATTGAACATTAAAATGGTATAAAATACCGACAGGTTGTTAGGTAAGACACATATGCAACATTTTCTGTACTCGACTGAAGAAGCCTACTGTGTAGGCGAAACGTTTCGAAATAAAGATACCTAACTGTTGCATATGTGTCTTACCTAACAACCTGTCGGTATTTTATACCATTTTAATGTTCAACCTGCTTGACTTGGTTCTGGCAAACAAGGAATCACT